GGTTTTTAACATTTTTTTCTTTTTTAGGCATTGTTTCTTAGCCCTTTGGATACATAGAAACTTGGTGAGAACATCTGCAAATGTATTTTTTCGAATTTATTTATTCTAACAAAGCATTGTTAACATTCAATTTTTCTCTTTTTTTAGATGGTTGATGTTTAAAACAAAATACTGAAAGTTACCAGCAGCGCCAAGGAAAAATGGTTTTTTATGAATAAATTTTGGTGTAAACTTGGCCCTTTCAGACTTTTTTTTTTATTTTTCTTTTAATGAAATGTTACTAATAGTTCTTTTCTTTTTTTCTTTTGTAGGTGATTCTTTGAGTCTCTTGGACATATATTTTGGTAAGTGAAGTATTCTTTTTACTTAAATCAATTCTTTTAGCGAAATGTTTGCTAATATTTCATCTTCACTTTTTTTAGAGTCATCTGGACGCGTTAGATTTAGGTAAGATATTTTTTTTACTTTGTTATTTGTTTTAACAAAATAACGAAACTTTTACTAGTAACATTTTGTTTTATTACTTTTTTTTAGACAGTTTCTTCAAATATCTATGGACATGAATTTCGGTAAGGTTGGAAATCCGGTTCTCCATAGATGCATTACGGTATGTGTTTAAATATTTTTTCTTTGTCTTTTTTTTTATTTTTAACAAAATGTAACGTCTGCTAATATTTTGTTTGTTTCTTTAGTTGCAGATTTTAGGCAGCTTTTGGGTGACGAAACGACTTATTGCTCCGGACTTACAACGGTTCCCGTTTCCCTAGTATAACTGTGATTATAAACAGTTCTTTTTAATATAAGATTTTTGAGGATAGGTGTGATAGTGACTATAGATAGATTGTGACTATATAGGATAGATTTTAATAATAAAGTGTTTTGAACATTCAACTGGTGTGACTATATAGTAGAATGTGACTATAACGGGAGTGACTATAGAGGGAGTTGACTGTATACTATTTACTAATCAAATTAATTTATAGTTGTCCCAAATGAACCCATTTCCATCTACAAATAGTGTTTTAGTCCTTGACAATGCTAAGATACATCACGATCAAGAACTCCTTGAATATTTAGATGCATTTGGAGTAAAAGTTGAATTTTTACCTCCTTATTCACCGGATTTAAATCCTATAGAAACTGCTTTTTCTACGATCAAACAATTTTTACGAAGAAATAGATATTTTGTAGATACTAATTATAATCCTATTTATCCTTTACTTGTAACTTGTTCTCAAATTACTCCTCAAATGGCAGAAGGTTATTTTAGAGGATCAGGATATTTTTAAATAAATAAAATTAAAATTTTATATTATAACCAAAATTCAAATTCAATTTATTAACAAAATTTGTAAATTTATACATTATATTGTAATAAAATAATACAATTATTTATATTTTTTAGCAGCATCTCTAATGGTTTCAATATCTCCAATAGTTGTTACCCCACAAGCTTCAAATTGCGTATCATTCAATTTGTATAAATGTTTAACTCTAACTCTTTGCTTCTCAAATCCTTCCAGAAACTTAACGTAATAATCACCTGTTTCTTCAGCTTCATCTAATTGTTGTAAAAATTAGATCATTGATGGTAAAGTTTGGTGAGTTACTAGAGTTGTTTGTAATGTTGATTGTAATGGGGATTGTTGTGATATTTGTTGTTGAAGAAGTTGAGGCGCAACTAATGCCTGAAATAAATTGGAAAAAAAAGGACTAATTGAATTTTGTAAATCATTAGAAAGTTGGGGTAAAGTGGGTTGAGACCTGTTTTTGGTGTACGCAAATAAAGGATGGGTTGGTGGATCTTTAACTGATGCAAGTCCGTTAAGCTAAAATATTTAGATATTAATGTTAAATTAAAGTAATACTATTAAATAAATATATAGAAAACTGACCATTTCTGTTGCCCAAGTTGAAAACATCATATTACTTATTTCAACATGAGGTTCACGATCTTTTAGACAATGCCTATTATGCATGGAACACCAAGTTTCTCTTCGTAATTCTGTAACATTCTTTGCAATTCTTTGATCAAGCAAAGAAATATCTGAAATTTTAGGAACTTTATTTTTATTATAAATATTTGGAATAGAGTCCTCGTCATGATCTACATCATCATCTGAATTAGTTTCCTAATTAAAAATATAGAATTAATTTTTTTAAGAATAAAAAAAAAAAAAAAAATTAAAAAATAACATTTTTTTTCGCTTAACATCAACTTGTTTTTCTTTTTTATTCATAGTAATAGAAATAAGCATAACTTTTTTTGTGGCAACAAGTTTATTATATTCTGATTTGAAATTTTCGAAATCACGTACATCTACTAATAAAGTACCAGCTCCTTGTGTCTTTTCTGACTTAAAAGAAACATTATAGTCATTAGCATCAATTTTTTCATCTTTGAGAAGAGCTGTGATATTATTTTGAATTGAAAGTAAAAACTCATCTAATTCAGAGATTATAACTGAATAGTTTTTAGCTGGAAGAGAAGTACCGTCTGCCTTTTTTATAGATAGTTTGTAATTAACTTCTATTTCCAATTCAGTACTATCTTCATTTTCAGTTTCTGAATTGCTACGTTTGGATTTATTGTAAAATGTTGACCCATCTGACGTAGTACTTTCTTGTGAAATTTCAGTAGTAGATTCAACATTAATTATTTCAATGTTTTCTTCTAATTGTATCACATTTTCTGATGTACGAACTCTTTGTGAAGAGTTATTAGATTTAGATTTTTTATTAGATAAACGTTGGTAAGAACTATTACATGTTGAACAGAATGAAAATTGAAAGCCTTTTGCTAAATCAAATCCATAAGCAAAGCTATCATTTTTATTTTTTATAAAATCTATTTGTTTAGGATTAGAAATAGGGTTAAAGACTCTTGTAAATGCGTTTTTAACGAGATCTGTTCGGTTTTTTCTGGATGGCTTAGCTGTTTTATTACAATCACATATTTCTATTTTCAAATTTACCCCACAATAGAGACACTTTTGACATCCAAAACAAGTCCCAATTTTATACATTTTCAACTATTTTTTTACGCGACAAAAAAATTCTAAACGCGAAATTAACTATAAATTTTTTATTCTTGTGTAATCTTGTAATCATTGACTAATTATTTGTTGATTGTCACGTGAAATTGAAAATCTTTTGAAAATCGATTCTCACATAATGATACAACCCAAAAATCGCATAGTCGCACTAATTTGAAAAAGGCGATAAAATGTCAATGACATCCTTTTTCTTTTTACGATTTTGAAGAGAATATGTAACAAATATGAGTGAAAAGTATTCTAATTTTATTCTGTTAGCAAGAACTTTTTAGCTGATCAAAGTTTTGCAATTTTTGTTTCTCTTGCGGAGTCTATAGTTTTGTTGGTAAAAGCACATCAGGAATATTACCCAAATTATCCATTTTTACCATGGATGCATGGATCGGAGGCTTATGAACACTTTTTTGGCATAGCGCGTCAAATTAATTCTGATTTTAATTATTTAGAATTGTTACAATTAGTTCCAAAAATTTCTCAATGTACCAAAGCGTTAAGAACAAAAAATGTTACATTGGAAAAAGAAAAATCAGTTCGTGATGATAAGCAAGCATACTTTTAGTATTATTGTAATATTAATTATTATCTATTTACTAGTTTTAATGAAAGAAAGTAAAAATTGGGGCTCTGATCAGTTTCAGTAATTACCAAACCAAACCGATCAGTTTCAGTATCGGAACGGTTTCAGTATTCTGATTTAATGAACTGAACCTTTCAGTAAATTTACCGATCGGTTTCGGTAACTTCGGTTTCGATATCGGTTTTGCAATTTACTGAACCGATTTACCAAACTGATATTTTCGGTATTAGTTTCGGTAAATTTTACCGATCATTTTGGTAAATTTTACTGATCACTTCAGTAAATTTTACCGATCATTTTGGTAAATTTTACTGATCATTTCAGCAAATTTACCGAACTGATTTGCTGAACGTTTTGTGATGTTGATAAAAAACGTCGCGAAATGTTTTTTTTGACAATTTAATAAAAACGTTGTGAAACGTTTTTATTAGTTAATTTATTTAAAAAAAAATGTTTCGCAATGTTTTTTTTTAATAATTTAATAAAAACGTTGTAAAACGTTTTTATTAATTAATTTATTTTAAAAAAAAACGTTTCGCAATGTTTTTTTTTAACAATTTAATAAAAACGTTGCGAAACGTTTTTATTTGTTAATTAATTTTAAAAAAAAATGTTTCGCAACATTTTTTTCATAACTTAATAGAAAACGTTTCACAACGTTTTTTTTTGATAATTTAATAAAAACATTGCGAAACATTTTTTTTTAAATTAATTAACTAATAAAAAACGTTTCGCAACATTTTCTATTAAGTTATGAAAAAAAACGTTGTGAAACGTTTTTATTAGTTAATTTATTTAAAAAAAAACGTTTCGCAACGTTTTTTTTAGTAACTTAATAGAAAATGTTGCAAAACGTTTTTTATTAGTTAATTAATTAAAAAAAACGTTTCGCAACATTTTTTTTTCAATAATTTAATAAAAACGTTGCGAAACGTTTTTATTTGTTAATTTATTAAAAAAAAACGTTTTGCAACATTTTTTTTCTATAATTTAATAGAAAACGTTGCGAAACGTTTTTTATTAGTTAATTAATTTAAAAAAAAATGTTTCGCAACATTTTTTTTTGANTGTCTTTTCTGACTTAAAAGAAACATTATAGTCATTAGCATCAATTTTTTCATCTTTGAGAAGAGCTGTGATATTATTTTGAATTGAAAGTAAAAACTCATCTAATTCAGAGATTATAACTGAATAGTTTTTAGCTGGAAGAAAAGTACCGTCTGCCTTTTTTATAGATAGTTTGTAATTAACTTCTATTTCCAATTCAGTACTATCTTAATTTTCAGTTTCTGAATTGCTACGTTTGGATTTATTGTAAAATGTTGACCCATCTGACGTAGTACTTTCTTGTGAAATTTCAGTAGTAGATTCAACATTAATTATTTCAATGTTTTCTTCTAATTGTATCACATTTTCTGATGTACGAACTCTTTGTGAAGAGTTATTAGATTTAGATTTTTTATTAGATAAACGTTGGTAAGAACTATTACATATTGAACAGAATGAAAATTGAAAGCCTTTTGCTAAATCAAATCCATAAGCAAAGCTATCATTTTTATTTTTTATAAAATCTATTTGTTTAGGATTAGAAATAGGGTTAAAGACTCTTGTAAATGCGTTTTTAACGAGATATGTTCAGTTTTTTCTGGATGGCTTAGCTGTTTTATTACAATCACATATTTCTATTTTCAAATTTACCCCACAATAGAGACACTTTTGACATCCAAAACAAGTCCCAATTTTATACATTTTCAACTATTTTTTTACGCGACAAAAAAATTCTAAACGCGAAATTAACTATAAATTTTTTATTCTTGTGTAATCTTGTAATCATTAACTAATTATTTGTTGATTGTCACGTGAAATTGAAAATCTTTTGAAAATCGATTCTCACATAATGATACAACCCAAAAATCGCATAGTCGCACTAATTTGAAAAAGGCGATAAATGGAAAAAATCTAATCCAATGGAAATTTCACAGGAAGTCGGGTTTTATCTTTTGCATGAGAAAGAAAAGGCTTTGTGCTCTGATTTAAGATTAAAGCCAAGTAATTATTTGAATGCAAAGTATAATATTATAATTAGCGCTCTTGCATTTAAGAAAGTAGGAAAAGAATTCAAGAAAATCAATGCTCAAAAATGTGAAATTAATTTTGACGTAAATAAAGCAAGTGCTTTATGGGATTTTTTTAGACAATTAGAATGGTTTTAGCATCTATTATACAATTTATACAATTTTATCAAGTACTTTTAAATTCTGTCGTAATTTCTTAAAGTTCGTAATTACAAAAATTACGTTTCGCTGAATTTAGTATATTAGAAATAAATAAATAAACTGACGAATTTCAAAATATTTTTTTTTTTTAAAGAAAACGATATGACTTATTTTCACTATGTAAAATTATTTTTTTCAATTGATTTTATCTGCTTGATAAAATGCAACTAAATGTTGTTATTATAATTGTTGATTGTCGATCATTACGTTTCAAATATTTGGAATTTTGGATATAAATACAGCTTTTGATTACGCTAACTTTTTTTCTTCACCTTAAATGGTTCTTTCATATTTTCTCTTTTCCAAAATGCCAAAATTTGTTCATCGTAAACGCTCTACTAGAAATACTTCTAAATTTCAAAGGAAAAAAGCTCTTCGAAGTATTATAAGAAGTGATAAACATTATAGGTGAGTAAGAATGTCGCTGCCGTTTGGTTGCCGGTGGTAGTGTATTCTGTAGATGTTTTGGTGTTCGCCGATACACTATTTTGCAGGGGGAGGTTTTGTTCATACGAGCGAAATGTTAGGTAGCTCCTAACAGTAGACTGGTTATCCCGATGACTGAAGATGGCTTTTTGACGAATATTTCCATGAGGTGGATACTGTGGTTATGCTGAGTCTTGTAGCAAGTTGCTCACCTTCGAAACCTGTAGATAAGCCATTACTTTTCGCTCACTTAGGTTCGTCCTAACCTCCCGCTCCTTTTCTCCAAAACTACTTTTGTAGGTCACTTCTTTTCAATCATATTTTCCATGATGAAGCCACTCAACGTCAAGACTCTTTTTGTCAAGATGGTCGCTCTCGAGCGAACTTTATTAACCTATATTCTTTCCCTTTACCTAACCTTGGCCTTCGTATAGATTCCTCTATACATATCGGAAGTAGCCCTCCAGTTGGTTTTTCCGCTTACTGTGGTTGCCGAGTACTTGATGACAACACTTATCAATGGTGTGAAGAATGTGACAGGATTTACGGGAACAATTACGTTTCTGCGGTACGTGCTATTAATTGTTACACATGATGTAATATTGCAGTTAAAATTATAACGTTTAAATAATTAATTATGTGATAATTTGCGCTTACCATTTTTATCGACTATTAATTTCTAAAAAAAGAAAAGTTAAAAAAGTATATAAAGGCAAAGCTTTGATTTTATTTAAAAAAAAATGTCACTTTCAAAACGTAATTCAAAACGATACTTTTCAGATTCTAGAAAATCTTCTGCTAAAAATAATTGGTATTTCGATTATTATAATATTCATTTTATTATTTGCTATGTATTTTGCTTTAATATAATTAATGTTATATTTATTGTCAGGTTCGGTGATCATAGAAGGTTAAAAAATAAGATAATTAAACTTACAGAAAGATTGAAAAATTAAAAAAGTTAGTGTGTTAGACTTTACAACCTACTCAAGGGCCAGCGACGTTAAAGAAAGAACCTCTGAACTGCTTCTCAGTTTAAACTAGGCTTTAAGCATATCTGAGACATTGTTTATGTAAAAAATTTTTTTTTAATGTGAGCAAGTTACCAAATGAGTCGCCCAGCTTCGATATCGTTGGAAAAGAAGAGATGGGCAAATTGTTTGGGAGGGAAACGACTTACCATTGTCCTTGAGAACTAGGTGCCGCAGTTCACCAACCGGGGGGAATTGGTTTGGTAGGCCGAGTACGAAAAGCTGCGAGAAACTATGACTGACTTAAGTTTTTTCGTTTCCTAATCAAAAAAAAAATTTTTTTTATATTTATAGTTACGGAAAATTTTTGTAAGAATTACAAAAAATATGAAATAAAAAGGTTGAAAGAAAAATTAAAGACATTTGAAGGTAATAACGATAACTAATGAATTTTAAGCGAAAGAAAATTTGCGAAGATGAAGTTGTTAGAATCGATTACAGTAATGAAGATCGGTATAGATAACCGATTGATAATTCGCAATTACATGAAAAAAAAGGATTATGATCAAAATTTACACATTTATTCATTTATAGTTGTTTTTGTCGTGTACGATTTTATACTTCATGCTTTATAATAAAAAGTATTTTTATCAAACAATCTTTATTATTTTCTTTTAAATAAATATTTAAAATTTTTAATAAAATGTTTTAAACTTGTGCGCACAAAACTAACTATTTAAGGAGCATCCTTATCCTGGGCCACGGTCCAGATGCTTATCCTGGACCAGCAAATCTAATTGGATGAGATTGTTTTGTGTAACATTTGTCTTGGAAAAAAAAACAATTCGCGTTTTTTTTAAAAAAAAAGTTACGAAATGCCTTTTTTTAAAGCATTTAATACTACCATTTTAAAGTAATATGTTATTTAAAATTTGTATTTTGGTATGCATTTTATTAAACTTTATTAATAAATAAGTAAAATTGCATATATAACTTTATAAAAAAGGTCTTTACATTATTTTTTACTGTAATTTTATTATTAAAATTATTTTAACGTTAATATCAAAACAAAAATACAATTTAAAAGTTTTGTTATAAATGTGTAATTTACAACCTCTTTTGAACAACTTTGCTTAACCCCAAAACTTAAAAAAAAAACACTTGATTTCCAGAATAATACCTGTCTCTTATACACATCTAGATGTGTATAAGAAAAAAACATTTAGTATTATTATAAAACTACAATAAATACAATTAAAATTAAAATATACAAACTGAAATGAAATATGAAATACTAAGTACTAACATACCACAAAAAAGAATAGAGAAAGAGTGAAAGATAGGAAGAGTAAGAGATAAAATAAATTATGCCGGAGTTATGTAATAAAAGGGCTGATTAGCCAATCAAAAGTTGACTGGTTCAGAATAAGCATCTGGACCGGTGGATCAGGTTAAGAATGGCTCTATTTAAGTGCTTATTTTAGCCAGTCTGGTCACGTGTCATTTGGGTCATTTCAAATTTTCTACAGTAACACCATCAAAAAAGCTTGGGCACGTGACCGTGAAAATTATTCATCACAACCGTCACACCCCAACGCGTTTCCACTTTTTATATTTATCTGAGGGACTTAGTTTTTTTCAAGTGGGCAAAAACTTATTTGTCACTCCTTTATTCGTCACTGTTTATTTTCACATGTTAGTGCATTATACCGTATTGCGGGCCAAAAGTCACGTGCCCAAGCTTTTTTTGATAGTGACGCTGGGGGAGTTGTCATTTCAACATAATGACCTTGTCATTTAAAATTACACCATAATTCTAGCCAAATTATTTATACAATTTTTGTAATTCTGACCAGGATTATAAATTTAGCCTGAATTATACAACATTAAATTCATTGACTTAAATGATTAACGACCCAAATGACCAGGTCACTTGAAGGTCATTTGGGAGGTCATTTTAAATGGCCAAATGACCTGGTCATTTGCCATCACTGCATTACAACTACAAATAATATATAGGAAGAATATCCGGACAACTTCGTTATAAAACTTGATATATTAGAAGGATACTTTTTCACGTCAATGGCGGGATGATAATTCTGGTTTATTAACTTTCAAATGAATTACAACATTATCCAACTCAAAAAAATTTAAACAATATGAGATATCAAATCAATTTTTCACCAGAATATGGAATGCCATCTCAAGTAAATAGCAATGAATTTTATCATTTATTAATAAGTATAATTAAATGTTTAAATAATGTATCTAAATACTATTATTAATAATTATGCAAGACATGACAAAATTTACAAAGATTATATACCAAGAAAATATTGATTTGTTGTTTGCAATTTCGAGTGTAGTTATAAAAAGCGATGCATTAAAATTTTGCGAAGAAAATACTTTTATTCATATTTGGGCTCGTTTATTGTATCTTCTTTATTTTCTAATGAATAATCAAATCATAAATTTTTCAAACACGACAGATTTACAAAAAAACTGCGCCAAACGAACAAAAAGCATCCAAAAAAGTAAACTATCATTTTAAAAGTTTTTTCGAAAACCGTGCAAATTAACTTTAATTGGAATCTGAGTTTCTCAACTGAAACTTAAGTAATTTGTATAAATACACTCAACTTCATTATAACATTAAAATCTGAATTAAAAACATATTAAAATAAATTAGATCAAGGTGAGATTGGGCACTTCAGCGCTTAACGGCACGCTCAAGCCCACCACTTGCTATTATTTCTCTTGTTTGTTTCATTTATTTTATTTGTTTTCATTTCAGAAGTAATAGTAATTCGTTTTTTTGTACAATCCCATTTTTTATTCTTATTTTTTATTCCTTGCAATTACCTTGCGCGCACAATATTCGTTTGTTCTCTTTCAGATGACCCGATACAACAAACGTGAGGAAAGTTGGAATAAATCAAAAGAAAAAAGACGAACCATAAATTACAAAAAAAATTTTGGATAGGAATGTTTGATATTGTTCAACATAAAAATATTGGATTAGAATTGGAAATTGCAAAATATAAAAGGTTGACAGAAGACTTAAATAAGAAATTTAATGAAGTTAATAATAATTACCAAAAAAATATTAATGGATGGAAGGAGTTATATTATTACCAAGTAGGAGTTTCGGAAGAATTGAAAGAAAAATATTATAAAAAAATAGGAGATGCGGAAGAATGGAAAAAAAAATATTACGAAGAATTTATTAAAAAGTAAGTGATCGAAGTTAAATTTCTGAATGAACAAAATTATTTAAATTTATATTGATGATATATTTTTTTTAAGTAATTGTCAATTAGATAATGAATAGAGGCACGTCACCAAGTTTAACAAATTCACTATGACTATCAACTATTACTTGAAAATTGCTAGTGCAGCAAAAAACAAAAAGAACATTAAAACAGGCATTATTAACATATTTGCGGTTCTTGCGTTACGAAATGAATGTTATGTAAATAAATATAATCAAAAAAGTTATCCCAAAAATATATAATTAATGATTTTACCATTTTCTTTAATGATAATTATTGCTTCACTCTTAGCAGAATGCCAACAACAGAAACCACTCGCTTCGAAGAATTAGTAAACAATTATTAAGAATATAGATATTTAAGAAGAAAATTACATTTTAAAATTAATAACTCACCGCACAATACGAGCGCAGGGCCAATAAAGTAATTAGAATATTTGGTTATTGGCCAGCGTGCATTACTAAATAAGTAAAAGGCTTGTTTAAACGTTCTGTATTTATAAAACCGGAAATTCAATTATGATTTATGAAAGTTTTTTGTATATATATAATACTTTTTTCTTCCTCAAACCAATAAAAAAAATATTTAACTTATTATTTTAAAATGAATAACGTACATTGCATTTGCGCACGATGTTCTTCGTGGTGTTCTACTTTTAATAATGAACGTATCGTTGGTCATGTAGTATCATCAAACACCTTTAAAAAACATAATAACTCTGATTTGGTTATTAGAAATCTTCATATTGCTAAAAATGAAAAATACAAATATCATACTTGTACGAAAGCTAAAAACTTGGATATCGTGAGAAATTTTTATAATAATCCCGATATCTTACAATGATTCGAAAACAATACTATTATTTTTTATAAATATATAGATAACCCTGACTTAAATTCTATTAGAAAAAAAATTCAAGAAAAAATTCACATTCCTCTTTATATTTTTAACCCTCAAATATATTCTCCTCTTGCACATTCCCCACTTCAACACTCACCTCAACCTGTACATACAATCCCTCAACCTTCTACCTCTCAAACTTCTACATCTTTCGCTGAATTCTTGACTCAAGTTGGCCCATCAATAATCAAAGCCGAAGAACAAGAATTAAATAAAAAATGTCAACTAATTAATAATAAAGGGAAAAATATACAGTCTGATGATGAGTCGATAATTGAGTCTCTTTTGATACAGGTTTCAATATTATCCGAAGAAAATAAAAGTTTAAGAGATAGAATTACTATAATTGAACAAAGGTTATTAGACTTTAATAAGATATTAATTAAAAATAATATAGTAGAAGTTTTAAATTTAGAGTAATAAACAATAAAATAAAAAGAATTTCTTCGAAGATAATGTTATATTTTGACAAACTCGTTTGATTTGTTTGAAATTTAGTATCGTAAATTTGTTTTGTTAGCTTATAAATTTTTAAAAACAATTATTCTATAATGATTTTACTTAAAGACTTTACTAGTATTATTTCTTCATGAACATCATAGAATAGCGCTTTGAACAAGCCATTTTATAAATAGTTTTTCCTTATATATAAATTTATTTATTTTTCTCTTTAAGGCTTCTATTTGAATTTAAAAGCATAATACTTTATTAAAATAACTTGATATACTTTTATTACTGTTGTAATTAAACTAGAATTAGTGTTAAAAAAGTTAATTCAGACATTTCAGTTCATTATTCGATTTATTCTAATAATAAAATTGCCAGTCATAGTCATTATGAATTTGCGAACGAAGCAGAAAAAATCAGTTTACCATTTTTCATCATATGCAAAAATTATTTTTCAAATATTTTAATTATATCAATACTTGCATGAAATATATTCTAAATAACGACACATGCAAAATACTTTGCAATTAATATTTTCAAAATTGGTAATTATCATAAATCTCCTTTTTGTTTCGAATTATATTAGAAATATATCTACTGGCTTTAACACTAAAAAAATATATCAGATATATTTGATTATAAATTAAAATAATAGCTAGTATGATTATGATAAATTAAAAATTTGTCTTACATTTTCTTTGATTTTGGAATAAAACTCTCATAAACCATTATTTTTTTCTCTACGAATTCTTTCGATTTTTCTATGCAATTTGTCTTAGCATTATCGTTATTGTCCATTTTCAAATGAATTCTCTCATACTTGAAAATTAATTCTTTTACACCAATTTTCTTATTTTCCCTAAAACAATAATAAAATAAATTTTCAAAAATTTAAATTGATATAACATAAAATAATTTTAAAGCAACTAACATTTTTTGTAAGTTCACAGATGAATGGGCTTAAATTTTTAAGCGAATATTATATATTTTTATATTAATCTTGAACAGACGCATGCATCTAAAAATGGGTTTATATCACATTTACGAAATGTTATATTAGACGAGCACAACAGATCTGATATATATGAAATTAATATTTTAGGCATCAATAAATGAGGGTGAAAAATGCGTATCATATAACTTTAATATAATTTCTTATTAACAATTTTATCATATTTAATAAATTTATAAATGGATTTATTTTAAAACTAATGAAGGAATTTTTAATTTTCATTATAATAAATATATTATAAATTGTCGTTCAAGTAAATCATAATGTTTTCGTCTTGCCAGAAGATCGTACTCAATGTTGGAGGTAACTGTTTTGAGGTTAATCTCAGATTGCTGACCGAATTTAATGAAATTAGGTGCTATAATTGGCCTAAATGAAATTTCTGAGTTAATCCTCTCATTAAAAAGTTGCAAAGCATTTGTGTAGTTTAGTAATGGATCGTGCATATAGGACCCCGGATATCTAATATAAAGGTCATAATGGACTTTTGGCCAAAAACACCCCTTTTTGCTGAAACTCAAAAAATCGTTTTTTGTAAATATCTCAGCATCCAGTAATTCAATTTTAATGAACTTTTTATTATTTTGTAGCCCTCATTTAGCTCTACAATTTAAAAAAAAAGTTCATCAAAATTNCTCTACAATTTAAAAAAAAAAAAGTTCATCAAAATTGGACTACTGGATGCTGAGATATTTACAAAAAACGATTTTTTGAGCCCTGAAAAATGGGCCAATCTGCCGAAAGTGTGACTTATATCCCGATCTGCCAACTCTTTCTTGTAGATCCTTGGTCAAAAATTTCGCGGAAGAAATTTTTTATTCTTCATATTAACACATCTCTATTTTACTATTAAAATGCCTCCCAAAGGTAGCAAAAAAGCTGGCAATAACCCTAACGGGGGACCTGCCAAACGTCAAGACAAACGAAACAAAAATAAAGACTCTGGCTCTGACGTTTCGAACTCAGATAATGAACAAACAAACAATAAAAACAACCCTTCCAAACGTACCTGTACGCTCCCAGAAAATCCTATAGAAGAAGATTACGTCGCCGACTCAGCGGCTGACGCTGGAGGTAGCAACACTACTCCTCCTCAACAAAATAATACTGACAATTTTTCGTCTCCTCCTCCCAAAGAAACTACTGCGCCTTCTGCGCCTGATTCTGTCACGTCTGGTACTGACGCGTCCATGCATGCTCTAAAAGACAAAGAAACTTCCCCCTTAGACGCGTCTCCTAATAAGGACATTATGGATACCAATGATACTTCTCCTCTTCCCCTTGACGCGCCCACTATTTCCATTCTTAGGCGTGATTATCAGGCTGCTGCGGCGCCTAATATTTCCCCTGAATTTGTTAAAAAGTACCCTACTAATCGGGCTATGATTGACGCTGTCAATAATCTTCTTTTGGAAACTTATCACTCTTATACTGGCCGTGCTCGCATGTCTGGTTCTGGTGACCTCAAAAGATTAGTCATTCATTTCAATTCAACTACTGAACGTGATGCCTGCCTTTCTCTCCAACATGATGATCTTGCCGATCTCCGATTTTTTCTACACGACCCTCAGCAACTCCAAACTGATGAAGATCTCCGGGCTATTCAAGTTACTGACATCCCGTTTTTCATCAAAAAAGATGATATTATTGCTCTTTTTAAAAAGTATGGTAACATACAATTCTGTCGCCTCCATACACGTGCCAACGCTAAAGTTCAGCAAGCTTGTATTGTTTATGATGATGCTTCTTCCATCCAACATTTCATGGATAAACAGTGGGCGATCTATTGTTATTCCACTTGTTTACGTATTACACCATGCTCCCTCACCCTTGATCAAAAGAAATCACGACGTGAATTCGTCGCCGTTTTATCTCAGCTTCCTCCTAACACAAAAGATGTGCATTTAGCGCCCTTGGTACGATCAATTGGCGCTATGGCCGTTAATATACCACTATCTCTTAATTCCTATAAACCTAAACGATGGGCTTATATCACCTTTAAATCACAACAAATGATGGACACCACAATGGAACAATCAATCGCCCTGCAAGGTCATCGACTCCAATGGGAACTCCCGGAGAATACAAACAAGCTTTGCCATAGATGTGGTAAACTTGGTTGCGCTCCTACTGCTTGCCCGTTGAACAACTCTCGCGGTCGCTCACGCACCCGTAACCCTGTTGCACACTTAAAAGAACGTTTTCATATTGGATGATCGAATAACCATGACTCATCTGTTAATCGAAGTAGACATCGTTCCCGCTCTCAATCCAGAGATCGTTCTAATTCCCGACAACGTATTCATTCAGCCAACAATACTAGACGGAGCAATAATAATACCAATAATACTTCTTCACCCAATTCTTCTAATTCCAATAAACCTATCCAATCTGCATAATGACCTCGCTCCAATGAGCGTAAAGGCAAAGACCGTTCAGTTTCCTTTTCCACTTCCCAATGTAATAGTACTTCTACTCCTGGCTCATCTGGTCATAAACCTCTCTTGGTGGATCCTAATTGTTCCCAAATTCAAGAGATCCTTTCGGTGCTCAAAAGCCTTCAAGAAGATATGGCTAGTGTACGAGCTAGAATTCATGCTTTTGAATTAGCTGATCAGAGAATGTCTCGGCTGGAACTTTGTGTTTTTGGACATATGCATGATGATGTTCTTCCACCTGATCCCAATGATTCTCCACATATGCTCGTTGACAACCATCAATGCACCCCCTTATCTAACACAATCTAACCCGCCCACTTCGAACAGGCCTAATTCAGGCCCAGTTCTCCCTCCCCCAACGGTTCCTATTTCCCGTTCTACCATTTCTTCTTTCCCCATCCCCGAAAGTGCTGATGAAGCTTCTATTAATAAAGAACGTGCTGAAATATATTCCTTTCAACGATCTTTAGATAACAAATTCGATCACTTATCTGGCTCTATTGAAAGATTTATTAGTTCCATTTCTGGTGGCTCTTCCTCGGACTTAGTCAATAAGACTTCGTCTGATTAATTTGTTATCCTTTTCTTTCGCCCCGCAGTTTCTATCACAGTGTTATAATGATGAATGATAATATAGATTATGATACCTTTGTGCGGAATCCCCCCAACCCCGTTGATTTTAGTAATATTTTTAATGATCCTTTATCTGATACTTTATTTTCTTCCTCTTCCTCTACTTCCCTTATTCCCAATTCTTTTAACATTTCTTCTTTTAATGTTAATGGTCTTAAAACTCCTGGTCAAGGTTCCTTTAAATTGGACCAAATCTCTTCTTTCTTTCTCCAAAATCATATTTCTTTTGGCGGTATCGTTGATACACATTTATCGCCTAAACAAATGAAATTTTTGTCTAAACAAGTTTGTGATTATACTTCTTTTCATTCTGATTTGAACTCCACCAAACATGGTCGCTCTTCTGGTGGTGTTTCTTTATTCATACATAACTCTTTAGCCACTCATGTTCAATTTTATCAATCCCATTCCTCCCGTATTCTTTCTGTAGACTTGTTTTTTAAAGGCAATATTAAATTGCGTATATTTGTCGTCTACATTCCACCCACAAATGATCTTGTTCTTCGTTACGAAGTCATTGATCAATTAATTTCTTTAATTTCCCAAACTTCTTCACAAAATTTTCACCATGCTATTTGCGGTTATTTTAATATGAATCTGGAGAAATATTACCCTATTTTTTTGCACCAACCTCAGGTTGCTGCTAAACAAATTCACAAATTATTCCATTACTTGCTTTCTCATAATTATAAGGATTGCACCCCCCTTAATCTATCTGGTACCTTGGGTACTTATCGCCATTTGGACACTATTACTCGTATTGACTTTGTTTGGTCTTGTCCACTTCTTCGCCGTTATATGTTAACAGCTTCTATTTTTGATGCTCATGATTTACACATTTCTGACCATAACCCTATTATTACATATTTTGATGCTTCATTATTATCGGA